GAGAACGGACACATGGGATGGTGTGAGTTTTGGCAAAATAATAATATAACATTCTGAGGTTCAGTGGGGAGGGAGGGGATAAAGGAGAACTGACACCAAGGAGTTCAAGAAGAAAAAAATATCGAAAATATTGTCGGCAGCAATCGTACAATTATACTTGATCTAAGGGAATTGTGGATTGTAACATCTGTAAGAGCTCCTAATAAATTTGTTTTTTAAAGTATCATGGACTGCTAAAAGGATGAAATGATCTGTATTGGAAGAAGTATGGATTGGAAGAGGCTAGGATGGCCTTTGGACGTGGTCAGGAGAGACCAGTCCCCAGAGAAGGACATCATGTTTGGTACAATGGAAAAGCCACAAGAGAGAGGAAGGCCCACGGATGAGATGATTGACACAGGGGCTGTATCAACGGCGAGGGACCAGGCCGTGTTTCATTCTGTTGTGCGCAGGGTCGCAGCCGACTCAATGGCAGCTGGCCACGGCAATAAGGTGTGGACGTCACTTTGATACACACTGGGAGACCACAAAAACTGTGACCTGTGATGCTTCCTTTATTGCGGCCTTGCAGAGCCAAACCCTCAAACTCTGAGGTCTGTTTCTAAACACATTGGACCTACAACCACAGTACCGCCCAGCGCTTGCTGCCACAGTTCACGGCTATGGCTGCCTGATGCGGAGATGCCCAGTGCCGCGCCAGAGGAAGGAGCTTCGTGACATCATTCTCCCTGTCCGGGATGCGAGCTGCCCTTCCAACAGCTCCCTGTGAAACAAAAACGGAAGGCTGGTTTTGCATTTTACCGTATTTCACCAAAAGGTGCTCCTGTTATCGAACACAGGTACGAACGTAGGTCTTCCGTGAATGTGGTGTAAATGGACTTTGGGGAAGCAGGACATGCCTGCACTCAACTCTTTGGATTCAGGTGAGGGTCTTTGCCAGGTACAAGAGAAGCGATTGCAGACACGTCTCCCTGAGGGTCTGGGAGCAGATCAGCTGCTGTCCCTTCAAGACTACCGATCTGGTCCCTCCAAAGAATTAGGCCGCCAACCATGCTCTTAGAGTTAGCAATACTTTTTCCTTGGTGAGCCATGCTTCCTGCTTTTCAGCTCCTGTGGCGTGGGAAAGGCTGATCTTGCCCTTATCACCAGATGGACAGGCGCCAACGCTGCCCAAGGAGAACACTCACCTCCCAAGTAAGGTGACCGGCTCACGGGTAGGCACATGACTCAATCCAGGCCAATGAGAGCCCTGCTGTAGGATTTTTGCTGCAGCTTCTGGTGGGAACTCTTTTTACTGAGATTGCCAAACTAGGTCAATAGCAAGTCTCAGAGATAGTAGTATTAGCCCGCAACCAACTTCTAATCAATCATTTTAGCTTCTGGGACCTGCCAAACCTTTAAGAACCACCTCTGGATTTCCAGTGATAGCAGCTATACAATGATTTGTTATTGATTTTTGCCTGACAGTTCCCTGTCCAATATGCTGCGATACCCCCTCCCTTCCATGGTCCCCTCAGGCACATTTATAAATGCAAATTCTTGCAGCTAGTAAGTCCTAAGTGGGCACCCATGTTAATGCACTTGGATGCTAACTGAAAGGTTGACCTCAACTCTACCCAGAGGCACCTGGGAAGAAAGCTATTTCTAGAGAACCAACCACTGAACACGCCAGGGACCAGTCTACTCGGACATCATGAGGCCGCCCCAGTCAGAGCTGAACAGCAATTGGATTTTGGTTTAGTGGTGAGTAAACTTCAATGAGACCCTTAGCGCCCACCAAACCCCTTCCCCTGCGCGGCTCTGGAAGGTGGGGGAAGATACTGATGCAAACGATTCCCTGCAGTGCCATCCTGTGTATGAAATGCGCCCTCTTGAGAAGCGGGAGGGGGGTCTTCATTACCAGTAAGAGCCAGGAGTGGAGCGTGTCCTCTGGACCCCAGGTCCCTGTGCAGTGAACTTCCTGGATCCAGATGCCGGCGATACCATCAGGGTTGCAGTAGCCACAGCAGGGAGCAACGGGATGGATTTCCCAACCACAAAGCGAGTTGAGAGCTGTGGGCTTTTGTGCAGACCAGCTTGTGGAGGCCGGGGTGCCTCTGGGCACTTAATTGGGGAAGTTGGGCTTGTTGATGCAGGGCAGTGTCTCCGTAAGTAAGCTGAGACTTCCTGTAGCGTGCCTCTGGGCCCTGTAATTCAGGGAGCAGGGTTTGCTGAAAGCCTTTGGGTTGAGTCTTGCAGCAAAGAGGTGTGGCCCTTTGGAGAGTTACTTTACTAGCAGACCTGAAACTGTCACTAATCCTAATAACTACCCTGAGCACTTCTCCCTGGTATTACAACTTGTTAACTTCCCTAATGGACTCCTTCAATCATGAATTTTGTCCAAGTTCTGTGTAGCCATTGCAACAGATATTAGAACCCAAAGAAGTAAACCAGAGAACCTTAATTCAGACACTATTATCCCCACCTGATTCATAATCAAAAGTTCTGAGAGAAAAATACAAAAAACAAGCAAGCTTAAGTATCTCTACCTCTGGACAGTCCACCTTTCCTTGTCCCTCTGAGGACCCTCCCAGCTCGTACAGCAGAAACGCTGCAGCCCCAATGAGGTGCGACGGTTGTCATCGTAGGTCCGGGTCAAGGAAGCAAGTCATCCGGTACACAAACATTTGTTGTAAATGTCCAATGGCTTCCCACTCCCGCAGCCTAGGTCCTTCTGGGTAGAGCCTCTACTTTCCCCTCTTCACCTCCTCCCACTTCCTCTCTACCTCAGTCCCACGGGCTGCCTCAATGTCACAAACGCCAAGCGGCTTCCTCTCAGTCTTCTCACTTCCTGTTCTGTCCGGAAGCCTTTTTCTTCAGTTCATCCCTCACCTACCACCGCTTCCTCTTCCGGGGCTTCTCCCACCACAGGAAGTCGGCTCCACAGGGCAGGTCTTTGTTGGTTTGGCTAGGCCAGAACCCTGCACAACCAGGGCACCAAGAAGCATCAGCTGAAGCGGAGAGCCTGGTGGCATGGTGCGCCCTGCCCTGGGCTGCCAGGCACAAGGTTCGTGGTCTGCAGCCATAGCCGCTCCTCTGGAAGCCCAGGAGCCAGCCTGCTCCCTGGAAGACCTAACATCTTGGAAACCCAGTCAGTCCGGCCCCATCCTAGACAGTTGCTATTGACCCAATGGCCATGGGATTTGCCTTCAGAGGGAATTCCTGGATAGGGACTGGTCTTCATTACTTCAGCCTCTCGGTCTCCTGCGTGAAGACCCTGCCTCCCCCACTCAAGGAACCTTCCAGAATACTGGGTGCAGACAAGCTAGGCTCAGGTGACCAGAGTCCACCCTGAGCCCAGGGTTGAGGAGCCCCGGGCGTGGGGTGGGCGGGGCGTCAGCCTTGGGTTCCTCTATGCCCTCCCTGCTCCCCAGAGCCAACCAGCAAGCACCACAAGGCAGCCAAGGTTAAGTAGACTCCTGCTGCGTTGTTATAAATATATTATGTACATCCCAAACAGGGCATTAAAATATTACTCCATGTTACAGAAAAGATATTAAGGCTTTCTATTATTTACATTAAACAAGCAAGCACCTTGAAAAAAAAAAAAAGACCCCAAATCAAAACAGGAGCCCCCACTTCCTTCTCTGACATCCCCTGCCCAGAGAGGCCACTGGGTCCCCTTCCAAATGATCAAGACCCTTGGCAGGGGCTGTGCCTTAAAAGGCTGTCTTCAGACTGGAAACATCAGCTCTGGTTGGAACTGTGTGGGCAGGTGGGTTGGGGAAGCAGTTGCCACTTGGCCAGGGGACTGGGGGGGAGATGCCTTTCTTAGCCACCTGACCTCAGAGACCCTGGAGGAGCTTCACTTCACACCCACCCAGGGTCCAAGGTCAGTTCGCAGGGCAGCTCCTCCGTGGAAGCTCAGGCATGTGGGGCGCTCCCTTGATCACAGGGGGCAGAATAAGCCAACTCAGGAACCTCACACCAGTCGCACTGAAGTGCTGCCCTTGGGTCAGGGGGCAGCCAGTGTGCAGGGAGAGGTAAGTATCCCCCCCGCCGGGGACAGGCGTCGGGCGGGGATCCTTTTCTGCAGGTGGGCTTGGCAGACATTGCTCAGAGGCTGGGAGAGGCAAAGGGAAGGAAACGGAGAAAGGAATCCGGTGGCTCAAGTATTCTTTGTCACCAGGGACGAGCTGGGGGCCTGGGCCCCCAGGGATGAGCTGGGGTCCCGTTGGAGGGGCCGCAGTGAGCGAGGCGGCTGGTGTTTGGCAGATGGCTTCGGTTGGGGGTCTAGGGAAGATTGGCAACGATGAGGCAGGCTTGGCGACTCATTTGACCTTCTGGGCCCACTTCATGTCATCTGCCCGGGGCTTCTCTCCCGTCAGGCACTGAATAATGTCTTCCAGGCGTCGCCAGAAGCCGATCTTTTCCAGTGGGTAGTTGAGCCAGCCTGGGGGGTGGAATAGGTACGGGGTGGAGGGGGGGGCTGAGTCAGGTGTTGTGGGGGGAGAGGGCTGGCCCTGGCAGGCAGGGGTGAGGGTGTGAGCCAGCGGAGGGTGGGAGAGTGGGCCCCACCAGACACAGTCCCTCTTACTGAGCAATGGCTCTGTGCTGGCGGGGCTTCTAACTACCGGGCTCCACTACCACTCTACAGGTCATCCTTCCCTGACCACTTCAGCCAGGTGGCACCCCAGACGGGCAGGTCACCCTCTCCATCCTTTACAGTCAACTCATGGCTTCTCCACTCCGTGCTGGTCTGCACCCTAACCCCTACTGGACCCCCCAAACGCAAGGAATCCTCTTTCTTTTCACTGCCTTATCCCTGGGGGCAAGGGCAGTGCCCGGGCATGTAGCTGGGTGCTGTGCGGGGGATCCTGTCTCACAGGAACCCAGCGGAGCGGAGCGGAGCTGCTCTCAAGGGCATGCCAGTCTGCACTCCTTTGTTTTCACCTTTTTCCCTCCGAGCCGCTGGGGGGGATTGATCTGCTGACCTAACCACAGCCGAGGACGCTGCTGCTCCCCCAGGGCTCCGGGGCTGCCAAGAGTCCCAAACCCAAACCACACTCCCTGTCCACTCAGAGCGCCCCTACAGGATGGGGGAGAGCGGCCCTTGTGGGTTCCTGAGACTAACCCAGTGGTTCTCAACCTTCCTCATGCCTCGACCCTTTCCTACAGTTCCTCATGTGGTGGTGACCCCCAACCATAGCATTATTTTTGTTGCTAGTTCATCACTGTCATTTTGCTACTGTTAGGAATTAGGAGACTGCCGTGGGGGTCGAGACCCACAGGTGGAGAACCCCTGCTTTAACCCTTTACAGGAGCACAAAGCCCCGTGTTTCTCCGCGAAGCAGCTGGTGGCTTTAATAATGCTTCACAAATAAGCCAACGAGCTTACTTCTCTAATCCATGTGCCAGTGCCCCTCCTCCTCCCTCTCTCCTTTCCCACCTGAGAAGGTGAGGGCTTCCAGAGGGGTCTCTTGGTGACCAACTGAGACCTGAGCCCAGGACCGGCCAAATAGCCAACTGATCTTCCAAAAAGGCTCCGTGAAACGCCTTCAACTGCCTAAACCCAGTGCCCCGAGTCCATTCTGACTCACAGCAGCCCTGTAGGGAGGAGAGGAGCTGCCCCTGGGTTTCTGAGACCGTGATTCTTTACGGAAGCAGACAGCCTCATCTTTCTCCTGAGGAGCGTCTGGTGGTTTTGAACTGCTGCCGTGGAAGTGAGCAGCCCAACCTGTAATCCACGATGCCACCAGGACTCCCTGGAGGAGTGGGGAGTTTGAACCTGAGTCAGCCTGCCTGGACAGCACTCCCAACAGCTATCTGTCCCTAGGGCACCAGCTCACCTCAGCACCTGTCCCCAGCCCTGGGCCTCACACAGCAGTTTCTTGTTCTTGGTTCGTGGTTGTTCCTGTCTTGGGGCCTGAGCACTTGCCCTTCTTTGTGCCTGGGCGGAACCCCTCCCACATCTCTGTCAGACTTCTGATCTTCCGATGCTGTCCCAGAGAGAAGCCTTTTTGATTTCTTCATACAACCAGCTGCTGCCCTGGCTCCTGCTTGCTCTCTCCCCCACCCTGCTCTGTCTGCTTCCATGGAATTTCCACAGGACCCTGCCCTCCTGGCCTCAGGTCTTTGTTCTGGAATGCCCTCCCTCCACTGAGCCCCTCCCTTGCCTTCTTCAGGTCCTAGAGAGAGAGAGAGAGAGATCCTCCCTGACCACCTTACTGAGAAGAGTTCACCCCCCTCTGACACCACTCGCCTCCTTCCTTGCTTTCTCCTCCTCCCCAGCAGTCAGGCCTTAGCTGGACCCCACATGTTCCACCTCCCTGACTGCGGTGCAAGCGCCACAGAGGCACACGCATGGCCTGTTTTGCTCACAGCTGCACCCTAAGCCTAGGGCACACTGGCCGCCACATAGTAGGTGTTCAGTAAGCATTTGCAGGGTGGATGAGTGGTTGGGAGTGCCACTTGAGGAGGCTGGGGTAGGGGAACGGCTGTCTGTGTAGGTGCCACTAGCCCCCAGCACTCAGTAGGCACGCAAGCCTGGCTGTACTGTGGTGGGCATGGGACGGGGTGAAGCAGGTGGGGGCAGGGCAGCCCGCACCTGTGGTGATGCAGAAGTAGGTCTCATGGGGCGAGACGTGGTGGATGCGGTGATGCTTCCTTGGCAGGATGATGTGCCAGTCCTGCAGGAGGGTGACCCAGGGTGGCAGCCCGAAGTATGTGTGCGACCACTTGTGGATCTGGTTGGTGAAGGTGCAGAAGATGACCAGGCAGAAGACGAAGCACTCCCAGGGGTACATCTGCTTCAGGGCCTCTGTGGGGTGAGAAGAAGGTGCCCGCAGGGCGCATCACACGGGGCAGGGGGCCCACCGCCCACTCAGGCCGCTCCTTTCCCAGGCCAGCTCCCAGCGGCTCCTTGCAACCCTCACGCGGCCTCCCTCAGGTGAGCCCGAACCCCACCCTCGGCAGAACCCAGGCTCCCCCTTGTGCTCAATGGGCAACCGGGGGACTAAGCACAGTGGTTATGACAGTGGGCTCGGGGCGGGGGCTGGGTTCAGACCCGGCTGTGTGATTTCTCTCGAAATCTCAGTTTTTCCTCAGTAAAATGAGGATCACGTCAGGTCATCTGAACCTCTGTGTAATCCTGCACCGAGTATATAAGTAAATATATAAAAGAGGAGCTGATACCAAGGGCTCAATAGAGAGTAAATGTTCAGAGAAGAATGATGGCAACACATGTACAAATATGCCAGATACAAGTGCTGAATGGATTGTTGTAAGAGCCCCCAATAAACAGAAAAATAAAAAGAATAAACTGGACTTGACATTAAAAGAAAACTTAGATATTGACAACAACCAAGAGCTCTAAGCTTCACAAAGTTGATCAGTTAAATGTTTGAAAAAAAACAAAAAAACCCAACGGGGCTCGTGTGGACAGCCCACATTCCTTGGAAGCAGAGTTTGACTTGGTTCCTGGCACGTGCTGCACTGAGGTCTGGACAGGAGGAGGAGTGAGCCCCCCAGGGCGGCCGCCTTCAGGCCCTGAAACAGCCCAGGGCCCCTCTGGAGAAGGCGGGCCACAGAAATTCAGCCCCTGCAATGGGTCGCTTGTTCCAAGGCCAGCGAGGTGTCTGTTGTTAAAACGGTATTCGGCGCATCTACAATACAGATGCACTCTCTTCATGCGACAGATGTCGGACATCACTGTCTTACGTCAGCGATGCCCCCCCACACACGCACTGCTGTACGTGTGTGTACTCCCTGCATCACAGGGAGGCCATGATTCGAACTCGGGACTTACTGCGTCCACAGCCCACACATTTTCTGCGAGGCTAGAGGAGCAAAACCAAAAGCCCTCGGGGCCAGCCAGGAGTACGGCACGGCGGGCCTGGTGGGGGCAGCAGGGAGTGGTGGGGACAGTGGTAAACTGGGCACAGCCAGGGCCAAGGTCCAGCCGAGCGGAGCCAGGTGGGAGCACAGGCCAGAGGGGGGACTAGGCCAGATTGGGCTAGAAACCCAGATTGCAAATGTCCAACGTCCCAATTTTATAGGAAGGCAACGAACTAAAAATGTGTTAAACCCCACGAAGGGACACACCCATACCACACCACACCACCACACACACACTCTCTCTTTCTGTCTCACCCACCAGGGCTCTGGGTGTGGAACTTGTAGGCCATGTTTAGCAGCGGCAGCAGCGTCAGCAGGCAGTTGTCCCCATTGGTTTCTATGAAGTCGTGCCGTGTGATGGCCGTGGGGTCGATGTGGTGCTCTCGGAATGGCCGGATGAAAGCCTAGGGTGGTGGGAGGGGTCCAAGTGGGGACGCCATCCAAGCGGTCACCACAAGAGCCGGCCACCCTGAACACAAGCTCACCTCTCTGCCCCGGCACGGGTCCCACCCACCCTGCAGGGTCGAGGCCCAGTGGCTGGAGCAGGAGATGAACTGAAATCACAGTGGCAGAGACCTTGGGCTGGCTGATGCCCTCCTCTGGGCCCGGTCTCTCCATCTGGGCTGGGAAGGGGCTTGGAGACCAGATTCATGCTTCTTCCCGGCCCCAGGACAGTTAGACACCTGGCCCAGGGTAATAGGCTGGGACCCCTTTGCCTCCCCAGCAACCAAGCCCCTCTACCTCCTTCTGGCAACAGCCCCCCTCTTTCTCTTAGCACAAGTGGTTTGGACAGTGAGGGGGAGGGGGAGCAGGCAGGGGAGCGTGTGACCTAGGCTTGGCCTATCAGAGTACTTTATTTCATCTCCCTGCTGCAGCAGTTGACTGGAGGATGGGCATGTGACCCACGCTGGGCCAATGGGAATGAGCCCTGGAACTCTGGCTCTAACGAAGGGAGAGGCGTCCATCTGTCCCGTGTGGTGCTGGACTGCTGGCCACAGGCTGGCCGGTGGATCCCCTCCTGAGGTGCTTCAGAGGACAAGTCTGGTGATCTGATTCCAAGAGAGCACAGAGCAGTCGCCCCTCTGCACACAGGGGCCCCCACGAACTGGAAGGGATTCCCCTGACCACCACCACAGAGAGGAGAAACTCTCTCTCCAGGGGGGTGACTGGACTGTGGAGACGGGGCGGGGCTAGGGCAGCTGGGGGCCATCTTGGCCCCCTCCTGAGGGGGAAGCCTGCTTGGGAGTGACATCCACCGAAAGGAGAGCAGAGAAAGGGGGTAGCGAGGGGAGTCCACGGAACATGACGTTTGTCCCCAGCCACGCCTGGGTGAGGATCTACCCTTGACGTTTTCAGTGAGATGACAAAATAGCCTTGTTGATGAAGCCAGTGGGGTCTGGATTTCCTGCCACCGGTTAAACAAAGAAAAGGTGCCTGAGATGTCAGAGGGAATTTAATACTCAGTGAGGAACAACTGGGGGAACCTCGGAGCACGTAGACTCGACGACGCAAGGTATGCTAGTGAAACGGCGTCCATCAATCTCCCTGTCCTTCTGGTGCCCGATGCCTTCCAGCCCAGAGGATTCTGGGATTCTTGGTCCAGTCTCAGGGAGAGGGAAGATTGTTCCCATCTCCCAGACAGGAAGACAGAGGCTCAGAACGGAAGGGGCTGGGCTGCAGGGCAGGGTGGACGTACGTACCTTCCCCACAATGGGCAGTTCCACGGAGCCCCATGTGTCAGCGCCCCAGTGCACCAGGCCAGACAGGAAGTCCGCGATGAGAGCCCCTGCGACTGTGGACGAGAAGAGGGTGAGCTGGGGGTGGGTTGACCTTGACTGCCCCTTTCCTCAAGATGACCTGGGATGCAGAGGTGCAGCTGCTGGTGACTCTGGAGGGAGCATCGTGAGCACAATGAACTCAGCCTCCACCCCCCACCCCCCAACCCCGGCTCCTCAAGAGCTGGTCCCATCTCTGCCCTTCGGAGCGCCACATGGACAAGGCCAGGACTGGGGGGTGGGGATGAGGCTAGAATGTGTGCCTCCTTCCGGGGTTGGGTGCTGTGCCTCCAGACAGACTCCCTGGCCAGTTTTCTCAGCGAGCACCCTAGTTCAGTCTCAGGCGGAACCTTCCCTTGCCTTTGTCCTCCTGGGGTTCAGAACTAGGCTGCTGGCTCCTGGGAGGCCCACACCATTCCTTCCTCGTGGATTCCATTGACCACAGGTGAAGAGCGGCTGGGTCTTATGGCAGCACTGTCGGTCACTAGCTGTGACACTGCACACGTCACCTAACCTCTCAGTGCCCCAGGCTCTTCACACAAATACTAATAACAACAAGAAGAAAAAGGAGCTACCCATTACCGGGAGCCCTGGTGGTGGATGGAGCAGGTGACATGTCACCCGCTGCTCACTGCAAGATCACCAGCTCAAAAGCGGCAGGGCAGCTACTTCGTGGGAGAAAGGAGGCTTTCTACTCCCGCAGACTCGCGGCCTGGGAAACCCAGGGGGCCAGTCCTACTCTGTCCTGCAGCCGGAATCGACTCAAGATGGCAGTGGGTGAGCCAGACTGTTCCCTGTGCCCGGCAGGCAAGCTGGCTGTGCTCCATCCGACTGCATCCTCACCAGCTGCCGCCACTTTCTTTCCATTTCACCAAGGGGGAGACTGAGGCCCAGGGTGCAGAAATAACTGGACTGAGGCCACGCCGCTGGCAAGGGGCAGAGCTGGGTTCTTCATCTGCGTGGGGAAGCTGAGGCCAGGTGGGCAGGCCCCTCCCATTGCCCCCTCAGCCCATCCCAGTCCTACGGGTTTCCATCCTTCCTCCAGCCCCGAGACTCCGCATTCGCCATTCCTTGTCTGAAACCCTCTTTCCTAAATTTAAACCTGCAGCTCTTGGCTCAAATATCCACCCTGGGACCCCTGACCCAAAATAGCACCCTCCCCCTCAACTCCCAGTACTGTCTCCTTCTTGGTTTTAATGTTCTCCAAGCAATGATCCCCTTGATTCTAGGCTATCTCCCCAAGCAAGTCAGCTCCCCCAGGGCAGGGGGTCTAGTCACGGGATGGGCTTATGGCTGACTGCATTCCCGGGTCCTGGCACCCAGTGGGGATTCGGGAAATGTCTGCTGAAGCCATTGGTGTGGGACCCTAGGCCCAATGCTAACCCCACACTAAGCTCTCAGTTCATATTCTTGTCACTGCGACCGCTATTCTCTCTCAGTCTTGAGGACCTACTGTGTGCTGAGCTCTAGAGACAAACACCAGCAGACCCCAAGCTCAACTTCCATTGGTGGAGCCCTGAGGGGAGAATGGGCAGGGTTAAGTGACCCTAGATGCTGTCGTCTGGGTCATGAGATAGCAACCATGTCTTTTCTGGCCCCCCTTCCCATCTCCCCGTTTCCCTGTGTGTGCTGGTGGTCATTTAAAGCAGTGGTTCTCACCCTGTGGGTCTCCACCCCTTTTGGGGGTTGAATGATTCCTTCACAGGGGTCCCCCGATTCACAACAGTAGCAAAATGACAGTGATGAAGTAGCATGGAAAATAATTTTATGGTTTTGGGGGGCAGGGGTCACCACCACACGAGGAACTGTATGAAAGGGTCGCGGCATGAGGAAGTTGGAGAACCGCTGACTGACAGGCTCTGCAAGTCCTGCTGCTGCTCTTGGCCCTCAGAGATGGGGAACTAGGGCCCCAGGGCATCATGCAGGCCCTTTTGGGGAAGGGGCTTATGAGTGCTGGGCACTGTGGACATCACTTCGACATCAGAGGCCCAGGAGCAGCCAGCTCACAGGCACTCAACACGAAAGGAGGTGGTGGAGATCTACCTGCTGGGTGCACGTACTGCATGCTCCAGGTGACAAGGGCAGGCGAGCACATGCAGTAGCACATGCGGTTGCCATGGGTGCTTGGAGGGTGTCACCCCATGGGTAGGTGCATGGACTTGGGGAAAGGTCAGTGCCCAGCAGAGCCTCTGGACTCTGAGGTCTGGCCAGCCTCCCTCAGCAGAGGTAGGTGAGGGAAGTGCCTTTGCACCTGGTGGTGGCCCTCCTCTACCCAAAGGGCCCTCTGTGACTGCTTCTGCCCAGTCTCTGGGCTCAGGGCCAAAACCACCCAACCCCCAGGTGGCATTCTCAGGTCACCTCCTCCTGCTTCATTTCCTTCAAGGAATCTGCCACTCCTCAACACAGTCTCATTTCTGAGCCCCACTGCTCACGTGAGGACGAGACTTAGGAACCGGCAACAACTGTCCGTAGCCCACACAGCCTGGGAGTAGCAGGGCTGGCAGGGGATGAAACCACAAACCCACTGTTGTGCGGATCCCGAATCCTAGAGACCCTATAGGGCAGAGGAGAACTGCCCCATAGCATTCCCAAGGCTGTAAATCTTTCCGGAAGCAGTCAGCCTCATCTTTCTCCCTTGGAGTGACTGGTGCATTTGAACTGTCAGCCTTTGGGTTAGCTGCAGAGGGCTTACCTACTGTGCCACCAGAGATGTGTCTATGGCCTCTAAGACCAGCACCCTTTCCTGTCCCTGAATGGTCACTTGGGGGCCCGAGGGAGCACCCCAGTGCTCACACTGCAGGCCACAGTGCTCTTGCGTGGCACAGTCGACACTGAGCGACCACTGGAGAGGCTGGTGGGTGGGGGCACAGGCAGAGGTGCCTTGGAGGAAATGCCTGGCAGCCTGCTTCTGGAAAGTCACAACACCCTAAAGACCCCCCACTGAGCCCAGGTGGGGTCACCGTCTCATGGAATCTTCTGGATGACAGCTGGACTTTCATTTTGATCGCATGCTGGGCACACACCTCACCTCCGACCGTGAGGAATGGGAAGCCATGTTTTCCACTAAGGACAAACCCTCTTGTCTCTCCACCATCTGGCTGTGGGACCCTGGTCAAGCTGCTTGCCCCTTCTGGGCCTCACCCCCTAACAGCTTGGCTGATGCCTCTACTTGTTGCCTTTCCCAGAGGCAGGCAGTGACTAGACCCCTGGGGTGTGGCCTCCCTGGGCTAGAGCAGGGGTCGGCAACCGTGGCTCAGGAAGCATCTGTGGCTCTCTCGGGACATGTGGCCGAAGTCCAATGGAAAGTGAAAATGAAACTACCACCGTTTCGTTTACGACGAATGTTAACGATGTTCTTCAGATCGCGGTGATTTCATTTGTTTGTATAAATGTATTTATGGCTTTCAAACAATTTTTAAATTGTTGTGAGGGACAGGAATTTGCTGACCCCTGGGCTAGAGTCCTTGTTCCCAAGGTGTTGAGTTCACCGGGAGGTTTGAGCCAGCCCTGTGACCCCCGCCTCGGCTCACTTGATACTGTGATTGAGCCTAACTCACCTATGGTTGAGGGCTCGGGCCTAAGTGTGCACGCTAACCCCTTCTCGCAGACAGCACCACACAGATCCTAGGCTACAGATGGGGGGGCGGGCAGGCGGGGTGGGGGCAGGGGTTTCCTTTAAAGGACCTGGAAAATCCAAACTCACTGCCACTTAATGGCTTCCGGACTGTCACTCTTTACAGGAGTAGAAATCTCCATCTTTCCCCTGCAGAAACTTTACGGGAGTAGAAATCTCTTTCTCCTGCAGAAGAGCTGTTGGTTTCTAACTGCTGACCAGCGTGTACTCCACTAAAGGGCCACATGACCAATATGTGGGTGATGGCAGTGTGGCTTGGGTTGGGTTTGGTGGGCAATCTCTGGGAAGGGCTCAAACCCTGGAGATGGGCCTGGCTGTGTTCCAACGGCACTCTGTTTACAAGTGTTTCCTGTCCCCGGGCCCTGGGTTGTGGGCCTCTGATACGGAACATTTCCAGCAGACTCCTTTATGCCACCCCTGCCGCATCCCATCTTCCTCTTTACCCCTCTGTACCAGAAACAGCTGACCCCTTTTCGTCACACTTGCCTTGCCCGGTGCGGGACCTCACACAACCTGCTCGTTTGTGTCCAGCATGCTTCCACCGCCATCAGGCCGCTGCGTGGAC